ATTGTGTTTTTCCAAAAGAACAGTTAATTTTTTAAATAGGAATGGATTTTTTTAAAGAGGCACATATATTATTTTGCATTTCTTAATGCAAAAAAAAACGTTTACCAATTTTGCACATGCCATATAAGACATTATTGAAATAAACAAGTCATTTAAATTTAATTACTGGATATATTTAAATAAGGTAATATAAATTAATAATTTTTTGGACCCCTCATTTATTACTTAAAATGATTGAATATTGGATAAAATCAATAAATAGTACATTATAACCATAAGTGTATCCAGGACACTGCTAAAGGGGGAGGGAAAATATTTGTAAGCCCTATATTAGATTTTCATAAAAATCATTTTCGGTCTTTAGTTTTTTTTATTAAAATTTCTAAAAATTTTGAATTAGTCGTTATTTTAAAAGTTAACTTTTACTAATTTTACTTTTAAATTCTTCTTTATAATGATATATTTGTATACAATTTTTGGAGGAGGGGGTCGAATAGTAATGGCTGAAAAAAAGGTTATTTTTATTTACATATTTAGTCACATTTTATAATTTTTAGCCTAGCCCGTGTTTATAGAAAAATTCCTGGCACAAGAACCCATTTATTTTTAACTTTTTTTTGAACTTAGTAGGAAGGTATACATAAGATTTATTCATTAAAAGAACAAGCGTTCCCTCTAGGTCTTGATAGGCTAATATGGCTAGGTGTGTTAATTATATACTGTAGTCTACTATTAATCATAATTATTATTATGAATATTTTTAACAACATGATGATATTGATATTATGTATGGGCGTCAAATAAAGTGTTTTAATTAAATTTTGCTTTAATACTTATTATTATATTAATATTCTAAGTGGGCGGGTCTACTAGGTCTTATGAGGTCGGAAATATTTTTAACAATGGAAAATATTGATATGGGCGTCAAATAAAAGTGAATTTAATTATATCTTGATTGTAATCTAAATTATTATTCAAAGTGGGCCGGTCTAGGAGGGCACAGGAATATTTTTAACAATGCACTATTTATCCGCAATTGGAAAATTTTGACCTGGAAACCCTGTTCACATTATTTAATAAATATATATTATATAATATTTTATATTCCAGGCACAAAAACCCATTTATTTTTTTAAATCATCTCAGGTTTTTTAAAAAAAAATATTTAAGCCTGGTGTACGGTAAACCGTTGTTTAATATTGACTGCATCCTACATAATTTTTTGAATTCAAAACCATTGGCGATATCCTATTTCATTTGAAAATCGATGTTTTAAAATAATTGGGATAAAATTGATATTTAGATTGATAATAATATTCATTTCTCACTTCAAAATTGACGGCCATTTTCTATAAAAATTAATGTTTGAAAATAAATTGGGTTAGTTTAGTATGACTACAAATAATATAGATTGCTAATATATTAAGTTCTCTCTTTAAAAATATTGGCGTATTTAAACAATAATTAGTGTTTTGGAACTAAAATGAATGCGATTAATGCCAGGAAATTTCAGAAGCAATAAATCCCATTCCTCCTTCTAGTGGACCTTATTTTAAAATATAATTCAAATAATAAAAAAAAAAATCCTTAATATCAAAGTTTCTACACATGGAATACAGTTCCAGCAAAACAGATTAAAAATTTAAAGCACCCAATTAATTATTTAAAATGCAAAAAATAGAACAAAATACCCATCATACTATCACCTTACCTTAATTTTGATTACCTATATATGGATTTTCATTATAAATTGCTAAATACAAAATTTTTTTTAGCATATTCATATGAAATTCTCAGAGTAGATTCTCTTCAGAATAAATTTGGTAAAATCACATTTATCAGGGAAATTAAAAACGCGCAATTAGATCAGACCTACAGACCCAGCCTTAAATCCGGCTCGGGTACACGGACCGGGCTGTATTTTAATTTTTTTAAATATACCCGGGCCCAGCCTAAATTTTATTTTTTAAATACAAGGGCCAGGCTTATATTTTAAAACCACATATTTTAAATTACCATTATTATCTATGATATAATATATTTTAAAGAAATTCGAGCTGGGCAGTGCAGTTTAAAATAACTCACAAATTATTAAATATTGATAAAATTTCTAAAAAATTGACGTAAAACTGGCTTAGTTGCTGATAGTTTTTTTAAACTGGCTACTCTACTAGTTAAAGCAAAGCACTAATCGGTTGTTGAATATATTAACAAATGAATAAGAGAAATTATACTGCTCTAGGATATAAAATTGCAGAGTTTGAGGCATACTCTATTTATAACTTATGCTTATAAAAATAATTAAAAATTTATAAAACGCATACTTAATAATATTATATATATATATTAAAATTTATTATAATATCCCCCTTAAAATATATATTTGTTATTAAGTACTGAATATAACTATTGATAAAATCTTTTATTGCCATTTAAAATATTTTTGTAAAACGCCTTGTTAATAATATAATTTGTAATTATATACTAAAATTTATTATAATTTCTCCCTTAAGATATATATTTGTATTAAGTATTTTAACTATTGATGAAATTTTTTAATGTTTTTAAAATAATTAAAAATTTATAAAATGCATACTTAATAATATATTATATATATATTAAAATTTATTATAATATCCTCCTTAAAATATATATTTGTTATTAAGTATTGAATATAACTATTGATAAAATCTTTTATTGCCATTTAAAATATTTTTGTAAAACGCCTTGTTAATAATATAATTTGTAATTATATACTAAAATTTATTATAATTTCTCCCTTAAGATATATATTTGTATTAAGTATTTTAACTATTGATGAAATTTTTTAATGCTATTTAAAACAATTATTAAATTTGTAAAACACATGTTTAATAATATTATTGTGAATTATATATATTAAAATATATTATATTCTCACCCTTAGATTTATATTTGTATTAAGTATTTTATAAAACTATTTGTTGTCATTAATTTTTATTTTTTAGTGGTATTTTAATTTTTAGCGATTATTACTTTTAGCGATTTAGAACGGGAACCGAATCCAATTGGTTTATTATTCATGATACGGTTTAAAACAATTTCAACTTTAAGAGAGACAGAAGGCCACAAATCCATATTTTTATTATAGTGAAAAACATTTTAATTATGCTTTAATATTATTTACTTATCTTAAATTCCGTTTAAAACAATTTATAAAATACAGAGAAAATATTCAAAATAACGAAATTTGAAAATTTAGGGCAGGGCTTTAAATAATCAGAGCTAAAAAATGCAGACCGAAGAACACAGGTATATTAATTTACGACATTTATATTATTTATTTTATTACTAATTATGACATTGAAATATGTTAAATTCAATTTTGTCTGTACTGTAAAAAATAGCTAAATATTAATAATAGTATAATTTTTTTTGGCGTTGATAAAGCTATCCTTTCAAAAATAACCCAGCGGCTGAAATAATATTTTTCTATTAAAATCTTTAGACATTTTTGGAATTGGATAAAAATAAAGTTATTACTAAACTATAATTTACTTCTGGCACCTTACTTTAAAAAGATGAAAGGTGCAATAATTTTTTTTCAATTTTTTTAAAGATTTATATAAGTTAATTGATGATACTACGAAATAAGATTTATAAATAGATTACATGACTTGTTTATTAACTCATATTTTGTTATATTTTATTACTCTAAAATAATAATTTAATTTTTTTAAAATTCTGGAACCCTAACTGAACTTGGGATCAAGACTAGTGCCTGAAATCTAACTCGTTATATTAAAATTTATTAATGTTTACAACCCTTAATATTTTTGATTAGTAATTTTTTTAAATCTCACTTTCGCGTTTCAATTTATATATATTATTTAATTTTATTTATAAAACTCTTCATATATTATTAAAGATCAATTCTCTATATTGCCACAAAAATGAATTTTTCTAACCAAAAATCTAATAATAATAATATGAGAATACAATTACAATCTGCTAGCTGCTTATAGAGTTTTATATTTTTACTAAAAAATATAAAATAATATAAAAATATATATTTGCTATTTTATTTTTTTATTATAATTGAATACATTATTGTAAAATTATATATTTAAATTAATATTGGATGCTAGCCCTTCAAGTACGATATAATATCGCGATTTCTGTAATCCGATACTATTTTAGTCTTTCTGAGAGATTCCGGTATTTTTTTCTTGGAGAAGCTTCATCATCACCTCCTTGTAGTTGGATAATTTTTAACTCAGTTAAACTTTGTTGCTTTTTAAGTCTTTAAAATGATATAAATATTCAATGTATAATCAATTTTCCTTTTTTAATTTAAAAAAACTAAATTATTCTAGAATTTTTTTCTTAAATTTTTTACCTGGAAATTTAATATTATACCTGTTATAAATCTCCATATTGTAGGATGATAGGAAGTCAACAATGAATTAAAACTCCTGTACCATCCCTCCATAGAATTATTTGTATTCGCGTCGCCATTAAGTGTGGAATTATAGCAATTCCATAAGGGAATGGGAAAAATTGGGATTAATCTTTCCCTCCTATAAGATTTCCCTATATATGTGTTTTCAAAATAATCAATAATCGGCTGTAAAATAACATCTTCTTGATAAAACGGAGACATTATTAATGTCTCAAAAGCCATTGTAACATCTGTTTCTAGCACATAGGCCAAACATAACATCATTTTTAAAAATAAACAAAATTGTGTATTGGTTTTATATTGCATTGATATTTCTGGAAACCTTTCTATTTTTCTCCAAAAACTTTGATGAAATAAACATCCTCTTTGTTTCGTTAACGGGAAGACCGATTTGAATGCATTGATTGCCGATAACTCAAAATCGGTCATTATAAAATCAGGAGAGATTGTTACATATGATCGAATAATTTCAAAAACTCGCTTGTAATCCTCACTCCTTTTACCGATCATCAATATGTAAACTAGGGGGGAAACCGTTTTATTTTTTACTCCGTGAAGCCTATAAAGTTGATGAAAAAGAGGAGGTGTACATTTAAAAGTACCATCGGCGAACCACATCGCACATGAGGAGAGAAATTCAAGATTTCCATCAGTGGAGAATATTAAAAGTCGCTCGTTTATCCTAATTTATAATATAAAATTGATTAAAAGTTTAATCTAATAATTTTTAATACCAAATTTTGATTTTCTGGATATATATAAAATTTAAACAAATTGTTCAATTTTACCTCATCATCATGAATGATAAAATTCTCGCCTTTCTCGGTAATAGTATATTCGTAGGGTAAAATTAATTCGGCCAAAGAAGTTGGGCACGGTGGTGGATGATTGTGAGAGCTTCTTGTACGGTGTATTATCCTTTTAATAAGGCTGGAGTTAGGAATCTTCATTTCGATGGATTCATCTAGATTTGCCGATATCTCCGAGATAATCATACTGGGAGTATCGATAGTTGTTTTCGCTTTATGCTTAATTTCGTTAGCAATTTTTTGTGACTCAGTTTGAGCAATATCCGGAATATGATTGTGCTCGAATTTATTTGGAGATTTTTCATTATTTCGGCTTGTGAGCCTGGCCATACACTTGTGAGTATCTCTCTCTACGCACTATAGTAGTAGGTAGGAGGCACCTTTTTATCAAGCCTGTAAACAAAGTTATTATATATCTCTAGATCTAAATCTTTATAACTTTTAATCATAATTATTTAAATGATATATTGAGTAATTTGTTTCTATAAAAAATAAAAATATTTTAATAATATGTAAAATAAAATGACAAAAATTTTCGAATCTTTACTATTCTTAAAAAACAAGCCAGTTGCTGTAATATAAATTCTCAGAACACCCTTGAATAAAAAAAGGGATAAAATAATCTTAAAAACATTTTGTCTAGGTCAAAAATAATTTTACGCCATTTTTAAATTATTTTTAAATATATTTTGCCTATAAAAATAAAAAATTTATTTTTTATATCTAATTTTAATTATGATTAATGATAATATAGATATATATATATTTTTAAGTAAAAACAAATTACTAAAATAACTATATTCACATATATACAAATGAGAGGTTTTCTTAATAATAAAATGACCATATAATAATTATTAAAATGACCACATAAAAATATATAAGTTAAAATAATAATTATTCAAATGACCACATAAAAATATATAAGTTAAAATAATAATTATTCAAATGACCACATAAAAATATATAAAAAAATAAATATTCAATTGACCACATAAAAAATATTTTAAAAAATAAATAAATAAAAAAAGATCAAAAATTTTCCCGTGATTTAGGTAGTTACCCCCAACGCCAAAAAAATTATACTTTTATTAATATTTAGCTATTTTTTAATGTACTGACAAAATTGAATTTAACATATTTCAATGTCATAATTAGTAATAAAATAAATAATATAAATGTCGTAAATTAATATACCTGTGTTCTTCGGTCTGCATTTTTTAGCTCTGATTATTTAAAACCCTGCCCTAAATTTTCAAATTTCGTTATTTTGAATATTTTCTCTGTATTTTATAAATTGTTTTATACGGAATTTAAGATAAGTAAATAATATTAAAGCATAATTAAAATGTTTTTCACTATAATAAAAATATGGATTTGTGGCCTTCTGTCTCTCTTAAAGTTGAAATTGTTTTAAACCGTATCATGAATAATAAACCAATTTGCACAGTGAGATTTAGAAATAATTAAATAGACAGAATATGAAATTAAAAAATCTTCTTTTCCCATTTCAGAAAGTCTCATAATCATTATGTTTAAAAATATTTATTGTAGGCATTCCTTTCCAGGCAGAATAATATGATTTGAAAATAACTTACAAAATATTAAATTTGAACTTAATTCACATATCATCTCTATTGAAACCACCAAAATATATAATTAAATATATTTTTTATCATTTTAAGATTTATATTTGAAACAGGAGTTGGCATTTAAAGCTATAAATTTAATAATTTTGACGATTACAAAAGATTTAATAAGATAGAGGTCTCAATCCAATGTTCCCCTTCATCTAATCTTATTTAAAAAATTTTAAAAATTATCAACATATTTTTTTAGCACTGGAAAGGGTTAATCATATCAGTAACTAGGGGCTAGTAGAATTAGGTCGAATTAATTATATTATGCTTAAAAATATGATATAATAAGTATTCATTGGCTATTATAGCTTTAAATTCTATTTTTTCCCCTTTAACTTTCACCTTTTCTGGTGGTTCATAATCAAAAGAATTAGAAAAAAAATTAAAAAATTCATTAAAACTTAAACATTTTTTAAAATAAAATATCACATTTTGAAATTTTTTATAAATTATTTATATACAAATGGTGTATTATTGATAATAACAATTATCCTATAGGAGACTTAATAAACCAATATAACCTACAAGCCTGGGGTTTGGGGCTTGTTGGGGCAAAAATTAACGTTTACTAGAATCAATCTTAAAATATAAAATATTTATTAATAGGGTCTTTTGTAAAAAACGACTTAATCTAATCGTTAAAAAAATTGAGTATACCAAATTCCACATATTTTTTAATAAAATACGAATTTCATAAATAACAAGTGACGTGTTTTAGAGGTAAATAATTTTAAAACGCTATAAAAATAGACAATTAAGCTGGTTCTCTGGTTTTTTGGAACTTAAAAATGGGTTAAATATAATTTTGTCAAATATAAATCACTATTGCATTGTGATAATGTTAGTTGTAATGCATTCGCGATATTGCATTCGCTATGATGCATTCGCGGTAATGCATTCGCTGTAATGTATTCTCTCTAATACATTCGCTATGATACATTCGCCATAATACATTCGCTGTAATACATTCGCTATAATGTTTTCGCGGTAATGCATTCGTATAATGCATTCGCGCTAATATATTCGCTATAATACATTCGCTATGATGCATTCGCGATAATGCATTCGCGGTATTACATTCGCTGTAATGCATTCGCTATAATGTTTTTGAGGTAATGCATTCGCTATAATGCATTCGCGCTAATATATTCGCTGTAATACATTCGCTATAATGCATTCGCGATAATGCATTCGCGGTATTACATTAGCTGTAATGCATTCGCTATAATGTTTTCGCGGTATTGCATTCGCTATAATGCATTCGCGCTAATATATTCGCTATAATACATTCGCGGTATTACATTCGCTATAATATTTTCGCGGTAATGCATTCGCTATAATGCATTCGTGCTAATATATTCGCTATGATATTTTCGCTATAATGCATTCGTGGTAATGCATTCGCTATAATATCTTTTCGCGGTAATCGACATTCGCGATAATACATTTCGTGGTAAAAGTATTGCGGTATTAACGTGATACGATATTTTATGTATGTTGTTATAGAATTATAAGTAATATTTGCAGTGTTCCGGGTTTTATCTGCATATTAGGTCTAATGGGACCGTCTGGTCCAACAACACGATCCGATGGTCCGGTCTGGTTCCACCGAAGACCGATTGAAAAAGATAAAAGTATACTATAAATTGCTTTTTAATTAATTACATTTTCATTAATACATAAAACATGATTATTTATGCTTAACACTTTAATATCTCATTCATCCTTTATATTTTTTATTCTTTTATTTCATTCATTTGTCAAGTAATTTAATTTATTAGAAATAGAAATTGAAATCATAGAAGATGATAATATTATTGAATCCCACCCTCAACCAAAGAATAACTATTGAGTAGTGCAAATGAAAAAAATTTATCAAATTCAAATTTGAAAATATTTTAAAGAATTATTTAAATTATTTTAAAGGATAATTCTGGGAAAACATGTAAAATATGTCTCCAGATATTTCCAATTCTTCAAGCACAAGTAAGTTATGCATATATATCAAATTGAGAGCTCAAAATTTTATATAAATGAATAAAAATTTCATCAAATAAACCTACTTATAGTTATGATTAGGACTGGAAACAATAAAAACCCAAGATTAACGATTGTATTGGTATTAGATGGGTAAAAATTGGAATAATATCTGACTTTTTTTATAAATAATATAATAAAAATGATCTGATGATATAATTAAAATATTGGTAATTTAACACATTATATTTTTAATAAATTTCATGCAGATTAAAACTTTTATAACTTAATAAAAAAACATTTTTTAGATGGGACCAGACCGACCGGACTGGACCGAATGTCCCACGGTCTAGTCTCACTTGACTTAATGGTTCATCGGCTCGGTCTCATTTTAGAAAAAAAGGACTGGACCGTGCGGGACTGGATCGTTGCAAACACTAGTTATTAGCATATATTTACAAAAATTGCAACTTACATAATTAAGTTTTTCTTTGTTTTCATCATATATAAATAAAAACGTTTTCCAGACCGCAGATTTTCCATTGGCATTTACCATATTCATTGCTCTTAATCTTTTCACCAATTTTTTTTAATTTGGCATCCATTGAAATAATATTTTTAATATGAAAATATGAGGCTGTTTAATTAAATAGATATTAGTAAAATATATTTTATTTAACTTGATAGAATATGATGAAAGTAAAGTTATAATAATATCGCTAACTATGCAATGTAATGTACTAAAATAAAATCACATAAAATGGTTCGTGGTTGTTATGTAAATTATAAAATAATAATTGTAAATGACATGTTATTCTGATTGACATTTTAAGAATAAAATTTAATTAATAAAATATGATATGGTTTTATAATTGGCATTATGAATTATAATGATTATTTAGAATATTTATATATTATTTTTTTCGGCAGGTCGGGTTGGATTTCGGGTTGGATAACTCTTACAACCCGACCCAAGCCCGAAATATATTTTTTTAATGTCCAAACCGACCCGAGCCTGAGACTCGGGTTGAGTCGAAAAGCCCGTGCAGTTCTCTATTGCCACCTAATATTGTTGTATAAAAACATTTTGATTTTTACCTAAAAAACATATTTTATCATAAAAAATTTTTAATATTCGAGGGGTATAAAATATTTATCCCCTTAGATATATACATATTATACAATGTAGTGATGTTAAGGTAACTGTAACTAGTTACATTTTGGCTAAAAAATAACTGTTACTAGTTATATTTTAAAAATTGTAACTAGTAACTGTAACTAGTTATAATTTTTGAAATGTAACTGTCAAAAGTAGCTAGTTACTTTTAAAGTATATTCAAATAATTAATTTTATTTTTAATATGTTGTGATAAATTAATTTTAAATAAATTAATTTTTTAAATTAAATTTATTTTTTAAATTAAATTTATTTTTTAAATTAAATTTATTATTTAAATTAAATTTATTTTTTAAATTAAATTTATTTTTTAAATTAAATTTATTTTTTAAATTAAATTTATTTTTTAAAATTAAATTTATTTTTTAAATTAAATTTATTTTTTAAATTAAATTTATTTTTTAAATTAAATTTATTTTTTAAATTAAATTTATTTTTTAAATATTCGGCTTTTTTTTATTTTAAAAAAAAATATTATAAAATAAATTATATAATTTACAGAGGATTAAAAAATATATATTAAAATGGATACTATAAAAAAAATATATATATATTTTAAAAAAAAAGGTGGATATATATCATCCAAGAGAAGAGTGAATGCTTAAAAAATAGGTAAAATCCTTCATTGGGGTCCCCTGAGATCTG